GTTCACCTGCAGGGCACAAGAGATGGGCCTATAAGCCTGCAGACTTGTGAGATGTTGGCCTGGATTGTTTAGATCCCAACGACAATCTTGATTTTAATGCTTTTTCTTGGTTGCAAACAAGTCAGTGGTTAAAATCAATATGCCACATTATGTTGAAAAAAGACAAGTGTTTTATGTGACTCCAACATTTCAGGGTCCATTCACAGAAAGTATTGCATATTTGTTCTTATTTGATTTTGTAGCAATTCTGTGGTATCATTTTCCCTCATTCTAGACATAAGATAGATGTCAAGAGAACTTCCACCCTGAGCTTAGGATTATAAATATAAGACATTATTGTCTTTTATCTGTGTTTTGCAAGTAATGTCTCTTTAGACATTAATACAGAAACTGTGTAAGTTTTCCCTTGAAGATAAGAAACATATTTGGGGGAATTAAAATTCACGTAATATTTGTCAATAAAGACCCCATATGCCAAAAGTATTTTACCTGGGGTCTCTTTTGGGATTGTTTTATGGCAACAATCAAAATCCTGTGGTACTCTGAAAAAGATACATTGCAAATCTAGTCTATATCATGTTCACTGCAGAAATTGCTAAGTATGCATTTGGTGTTTTCAAACCATAGGCATGCCTCAAAGAAAAGTAAGAGAACAAAGGGGGGAAAAAATTTTAGTGAGACCATTGTATAAAGAGCATTTTCACATTCAAGACTTTTCTCTGCTCCTGGGACCACTCCACTGGCCCTCCCTTCCTTACCGGCCTACTTCTATACATTTCCATGAAACTATGAACAAGAATGTGTTTGGTGTAGTGGCTGTTATCTTAAAATATCATTTTGCAACACTTTCAGGTCTCATGTCCAAGTACTTTGATGTGGGTTATTTAAATTTAAGAACAATGGTACAAGATGAAAGACTAAAAAAGCCCTCTTGTAGTATTTCTCTGTTTGTAAAAAATAATAACTTAATGTCATATGTGATGATATAGTGAGTCAGGAAACATAAATATATCCAGGGAAAACTTTGTTCTATTATTTTCTACCTTGTATAATTATCTGAAGAGGAAAGGATGTTACGTAAAATTCTGGTTTGAAATAAATCATGTTTGTTTGTGCAGTGTTGTTATTTCTTCTTTTAAACTAAGTGTGCAGAAGACATTATAATGAATTAAGAACTGGAGTTATTGCAAGTTAGTATTAACCATCAGCGCTGTGAGAGTAAGTGTCTCTGGATTTAGACAAATGAAAGAATACAAAAGGAAGCATTTCACAATAGGAACAACAGGACTTCAACTTGGGTTAAAAGGTATCATCTGGGTAACTGCACCATGGTACCTGGGTTCACCAACTTAATTCTTTCCACAACACGGTTTGCAAACTAAGTTAGATGAGAGCTGAATCAAATTCAATGATTTGGTTCAATGCTGGCCTTATGGGGAAATTTGCTTCAGTTCTTGTCCAGTTCAGTTTGCAACATTAATCTAGAAAGAACTGAGTTTGCAAACCAAGACATCACTGCATTTTTTGTAAAAGGTATGCTCTGGGTCTCTCTTTTGCAGAAATACAAGGTCAGGTGAGTTATATAAACCTGTGGTATTTCTCACACATGTTCTGTTTTGAACATTAGAACCTTCTAAACTGGACTTGCTTCTACCAACTATTTGTTTTTGTTGTTGTTGTTGTTTTGTCTTTTTCCTTTTTATCGGTACCAGGGATCAAACTCACGACTGCCTGCTTTCAAGGCAGGCGCTTATGCTGCTGAGCTAAATCCCCAGCCCCCGGTTCTACCAACTATTAATAAATGTGGTATGAGTCCAGACTCGTACACTCAGGGCCCACACGACCATAACTGAAAAACAGAGGATGCAGGAAAGAAACATGGATTCTATATCCTTGAGACTTAGAAATACCGATAAGGAATACTGTTGTTGTGTTTAGTAACAATGGAAGTTATAGTCAATGTGCATAGCCAGCATATATATATTTCTATATTTTTATGTTGTATTCATATATAAAAACTTACTGAAGCTGTCACTATTTAATATACTTTCCTCTATTTTCTGAAGGTTTGTAGAAGTTCACAAAATTAAATGGTTTCAAACTCTAGAATAAAAATCAGTAGAGCATGCTGACAGAAAGTCCATATTGTAAAGTTAAGTGGTCTGCCTATGAGTCCTGACTAAAAATCCATGTGAGCTTTGGAAAGTTTCTTAAGTTCTCTAGCCTCAGCCTCCTTATCTCTAAAATGTCTATCATTTCATTTTTGCTTTCCTAGAGGTGTTGTATAAATGAAACAACAACTACTATGATATCCAAACTTTGTGTTGTGCCTTAAGCAGAGCAAACACTGTGATAAACTCTGTGATGCATGAGGTGGGTGAAACATCTGCGCCTCAGCTTGAGAGTCTGCAGTGGCGAGCTAAAGAGACATAAGAAACAAGCAAAAATTTCATACCAAATTATGTGGAGCACTACAGTACTGATGAGAGCAATGACAAAAATCGAGGGATGTTTCAATTGAGGGCAACCAGAGATTCGTCTGATCTTTATTAAAGAAACCTCTTCCTTCATGCAAATATATCTGTACCTCGGGCAAGTCAAGCATGTACTTCTATCCCTTGTCCATCTCTGTAGCTGACAGGTTCACACTGGGTTGATTTTTGAACAGCCCAGTCTCACCTTGCAACTTTTCTGCTGGTGTTTTGTTCTGTAGGAAAAATGAGAACTGGGTACACACTAGCTTTGACCACATCAGCAATGTCTCCTGATGAGCAATAAGGTGAGACTGGCTCCTGATCCTAATACCATTTCCAAATACTGTTCATCATTTCAGGCTGCCAAGCTGTGCTGTTCTAAGGAACAGACGCAAAGCAAAGGGCTCATCAGAAAAATGGCAGATTATCAACACTGCTCACTTAAAGTTGTGTTTGTGATAACAAAATGAAACATGTTCGAGTGTGTTTGTTATTATGAGCCTCTTCTTTAGAAGACTGTGTTCCTAGGATGAGACACATACATTTGTCACTCTGCCCGTACTCTTACATCTTGTAGGATGCATTACCTCCTGGAAAAAAAAAAAACACAGAAAACAGCATCCATCTCCATTTTAAAAAGTTTGCATGAATTGTACACAAAATAAATAAATTGGAAAATGTCAAGAAATGTAATATATTGGCCAGAACTTTGATCTGAACTAACTTTCAAATCAGGATCAAAACTGAGTATTAAAAAAGAGGTTTGAATTTTGTTCTCCCATTCCACCAAAATCAGAAGAAAACTGTGACTTAGTGACGCTATTTTCTGCCTACCCTACTTAACTGTCCTCATAAAGCAAGCATCCTTATGTACAATCTCAGAGGCAGCATCTTTGCATTGTGTGATGATAGGACTATGAAAGGGCCACTAATAAATTCCAATAGCCTGGTGGTGATGAGTCGTCGGCTTTCAGTGTCATCTGAAACATCATCTTTGGTGACTCAACTCTGTGATGGTTTTTTGCAGATACATAAGTAGGACAACTTTGGATTAACACAGGCATACTGTGTGATGCTCAGAAATTTCACCGGCAGTTCTACAGCTGCAGTGTGGAATATAATTTAAGCTCTCAAATATTGTAGGTTATGTTGACAATCTTCATGATTCTCCCACACTCACTAGAAAATATCAGCAGCATTAAACTCAGTTACTGGTGGAATGGAATTGTTGAACCCAACACAGAAGAGGGAAATTGTTGTTGCATGTCTGAGACGAGCCAGAGAGTTAAATGTGTTGAAAGAAAAACAGGTAAACCCTGTCTCTCTGAGGCCTACCTGTAAGAGGCTTTCAAAAGTATTTATTCGCTAGATCAATTTAATAGCCTATCATAGAATGATTTGTATGTACCAGTTACATTTTATACCAATTCAAAAGTATAAATCTCACAGATGAGAAAACTGAGGTGCAGTTTAAAGACCTTGTCCAAAATACCAGCAATAGTTAGAATTTTACATTTTCTCTCTCTCTGTTCTTCTCTTTCACTCCCTCTCTCTCTCGATTACTCCCTTTCTGTCTCTCATAAAAACTAAGGTATTACCTGTCATCTTAGCATATAACAACACACGAAAATCCTATTCTCAGTGATCCCCAGAGGGATTCTTTTTTTTTAATGGAAGCAAAATCATCTGGAAATTTATAGGACTATAATGATCTTGTAAAAGAATGTGTAAAGGAGGTGATAACAGAAATGTGAGTGTTGATTTCCATATCAACATGCTAATACATGTTAATAAATATTAGAGTAGATGTTTTTCAAACCATTACTATTGCAACTAAAGTTTATACAATTTAAATACAAGGTTCAATGAGAATTGCTGGATTATATTCCTTTTTATATTTCATGTTAGAGTTTTATGATTTCATATGTATAGTTTTCAAACCTGGATATCCCTGAAAAAAAATGTTCAAAATTATTTCAATTTGCAATTCACCTGTTAGTAAATGTTACTTTGTTTAATCTGAATATTACATTTGGCAATAAAACTATCAGATGAGAGCACTCTCTACCTTTCACATAATTGTTCCCTAAATAAAGGGACACATGAAATACCTCACCATACAATTCTGGCTCAGATCCTTGCACCCCAATCTGTATACAATATTTTTCATTAGCAAAGGAAACTGCCTATGAAGGGGACAAAAACAAAACAAAACAAACAAGCAAACAGACAGATACGCAATCTCTTAGAAATAAATACCCCTGAAGAGGCTGTCTTCCAGGGAATTGCAAATCTCAGTCTCTTTCTGAGGAATTGAAGTCTTCATATTTCTGAGAGTTATTTCCCCTTCTACGCAATGAACGCTGTAATGAATTAACTAACTAAAAACTGTTGTGTTGGAGAAAGCAATCTGTGCTTCTTCCTGAGCATACTCAGCTACCCGAGTGGAGTGTTAGCGCCAAGAAGCCCGCTCATCCCAGCACAGGTCACTCCTCTGAACCACCCCTTCGGCTACCCGCAGTTAAAACGCCCCGATGTCGTCCTCCTTTCTTTGAGCAACCTCTCTCTTTACACCCAGTCCTGGGCAGCTCCATCCGTCCAAATGGGAGCTGAGTTTGCAAGCTGCCAAGGGCGGCGGGGCTGATGCTGCTGATGTCAGAGCCAGAAGACAGTTGTGATTGGATCTAATTAGACTTTGCAGCAGCAAATAGACAAGCTCCCCGTGTGATTGGCTTCAAAGTGGCTGGTGCCAAACAACTAGCAGAGGTGCAAAAGTATCAGCTTTGTGTTGGGAGCCCAGATGAAGAAGCAGCCCGAGGAGAGCTTGGGGCGCTCAGGACGCGCGCGCACACCTTTCCCCGCGTTGGCTGTCCAAAGAGAGGCTCAGTCCTCGGGCTCCGGACAGAGGCTTGCAGCATAGCTGGAACCAAGTGACAGAGAACAACTGGAGAACGCGCGCGCTCGCCAGCCTGCTCGGACTAAAAAAGTGAGTCGGTTCGCTGGTTTGTAAAAGAAGCGTTCGCGCGGCCAGCGGCCGCAGCTGCAAGAGCGAGGAAGGTGCGATTGCTGGCGGAAAGGCTGCTCTCCGGCTTTCCTGACTGGGTCTCAGCCATGGCATCCGTCCTGGGCAGCGGCCGGGGATCTGGAGGGCTAAGTAGCCAACTCAAATGCAAGTCCAAGAGGAGGAGGAGGAGGAGGTCCAAGAGGAAAGGTAAGACCCTCGCTGTGCACTTGCCTGCCCGCCGCAACTCTCCATCTTCCCCTCCTCTGTCTATCTGGGGGGCTTGTATATTTCGAGCAGTTTCCCTTTAGGATGCTCGTGGAAGGTCCGCACAGAGCAGGGCACTTGCGAGTTCCGATGCCTTTGTAAACGGCCAGGCGAGCAGCAGCGCAGATCCTCCAGGATGTTTGACAGGCGCCAGCGGGAAGGGAAAGTCTGACTAGAAGCCAGTTCTGATCTCTAGGTACCACCGTCCCCATTCCATACCTGCGGCTGGCATTGCCTTACCCCCTCTTGAAGAACACATTATGAAACGGTGCACATAAAAACAAGGCACGGAGTTCTCGCGCCAGCTCTTTCTGTCCAAATTGCCTCCTCCGAGGAAGGAGTGGGCAAAACTCCCCTGGCAATCGACTCCCCAAATTGGCTTGCAGTTTTTACTTAATGTTGTATACTGTCGTTTTGTCAGCATGGGGACCTACACAGAGCGCAGAGCTTGTCCTTGGAGAAATAAGCAAAAATTAATACATGGAAAGGAAAATAATTTAATTGCTAGTAATAATTAAAAAAAAAAAAAAACTTTGCGAACCAGAAAAGGAGAAAAAGCAACTGAATGACAGGTTGCTACTGGCAAACTGTCTTACTGTGCCTCCTTACTAAATATTCTTGGAGACCTGCCCTACTGAAGTTAGTCAGTGTCTTCACAAACGACGGGCCTCCACACTCTTCTGTAAAACTGGCAATTGCTCCAGCATGAGAGACCTTGTCCTAAACTGCTGTTGCATTGCATACACCCCACAGAAAGATTAAAAGGTTATTCTAATACTGCACCTTCTTTCACAGAGAGGCACTTGTGTTTTTGCTAGCTCCTTATTGCAAGTCTACAGGAGAAAAGTTCAGCTCTTATCACTACTGGAAATGTGTTGGTTTTCTTTTTAAGTGAATATAGAGTTCTGAAGAGTAGTTGGAAAGACACAACTAAAATATGTTGTATATTCCAGTTGCTCTGATGCAGTCTGTATTGTTAGAAAGGGCAGTGGGGGGGTACATTACCCTTGGAGAATTTTAATTTTTGTCATGGTCTAAGATAAGTTGCTCACAGACTGTTCTACAACTGCTCTCTAACAATCCCCAAGTCCTTTATTGCTTCTTCCAATAGCAGAAATTAGCTAGACAGTTTGAAAATATACATGTCAGTAGCAAACAGTCATTAATTATTATTACATGTCAGAACCACAAGGAGCAAATGTGGCCTGACAACTTCCTTAAAAGGTACAAGAGCCTTCTTTCAGAAGGAGGACAATTTTGTAATACCAGGTTAACTCTTAAACTGCTAAAATACATGCTTGCTGTTCATTTTGCCATTTCCAAACAGTTTGAAACCAACTTGCTACTGTCTCCCAAAGATACGGTTTACAAAAAGTAACATTGGAATAGAGAAAACAAGAGGATTCAATAGTAAATATAACTTTAAAGAAAAACATCATCTTCCCACTTTGTGTTCTTTCCCAATATCTTTGTTTAGTCTATTTAAATATTTAACATGAAGGAATATGAAATAACATTGTTAATAATGTAATCTATAGAAATATAAGCTGATGGAAATTGATACCTTCAAATTAATTTTTCTTATAATTAAATGTCAGGTATGCTAATGTAGAAAGTATTAATTTGGGGAGAAAAAGAAATCTAAACACTTCATTAGCTATAACCTTAATTATCAAAATTCAAACAAATTATTATAGGAAATATGTCTACTTTATAATTTTGATTACACCAGGCTTCTTAATTTTCCAAGCCAAATATTGAAGAGGAAGAAGGCCATCAAGATTTGTATATAAATTCCTATTATAAGTAGATTTATGTAGTGGGACATGCTAGCTGCTATTGTACTAAGAAAGTCACATCAAGCTGCTAAATATTCACAAGTAAACAAGGTACATGAGCTTAACTAAATTAAAAGATAACAAGGCAAACTATGGGACACACTAAATAATTGCTTACATTTGTGGGAGGATATGTTAGTTTATAATTCCTAATTATTATGAATGCTTGTTTTTCTGTTCTACAAAGAACAATAGTGAGTTTTGTCTTAATAGTCTAGCATCATAACCATAACTTAATAAAACATCCTCAACTTTTAATGTTATCTATATTGAAATTCTTTCCTTGTCACAATTTAAAATCCACATGTGCATAGATGACTGCTAAAATTTTTACTGAATAGTAAGCTCAACTTACAGGCTATTTTTATAAGTGAAAAAAACATAATTAAGATAAATTTTTGCCTGTGGTATGTATAATTCTGCCTTTTCTAATAGATGATGGTCATATTTAAAGATGCAAAAATCCATGCAGTTTGGCAGCATATTGAAATGGTTCATCTTCCCTGTGCATACCTTGAGTGGCTGTAGAACGGCATGCTTCCTATTGTAGAAACTACCTATGAGATCTCAACTAAAACACAGTAGCTTTAGCTTCTGTGTGGCATAATATTACACTTTCATTATTATTAAGCACAATTGAATGTATTATCCTGGAAATGAAATGCTTTCCTATATAAGGTAATTTGTGATCATTGCCTTACATACGAAATACTATGTATCTTCAAATAATCTGAAAAAGAAAAAAAAATTAGTCTCACAACATGACTCTCTGGAATTAACTGATAGTATCCTGCATTTCTCTGTCAAACTTTAAAAAAGATACTAGGAATTAATGTGCCTATCTGACTTCTGTAGATCTGGTATTGTAGTTTTTCATTTTTTCCATATGTACTTTTTTAGTTGGAATTTTCTTTTACAACTTATTTGCAAGTTATTCATATTTTCTATACAAATAAGAAATGCCAAAATTTGACTTTTATATGAATGAAAGATAGACAAATAAAAATAACAATAACTGTGAGGATAGGAAATTATCTTCTTTTTTCACATATGACAAAGCAATGTCCATATCCTGTGTAACATGTGAACATCCTCAGTTCATCCTGCTTCTATGCCATTCAGGAGCCTTGAGAAAAATCACAGTAGCACTTGCAGTTTGTGGAGAGTGACATGGATACCTGCCATCACTAAGTACCCCTGGATTTCACTGCTTACAGAGGGTACCGAGATTGCCTTTTATCTTCTAGTTCTTGATAGAATTATGCAAGGTTATTAGGCAAACCAAATCTATTATGTGTTTATATAGATTATATCAGCATGTATTTAAAAATAATCACGTGTGAATATTATAAAAGTATGTGCTTTATCCCAAAATAGTAAAGGTTAAGGTTGAAGTGTTTTTATTTGTGTCAGATCAATCAGATAGTCTAACAAGTAAAACTCATCAAAGACAAAGTGGCTCATGAGGATAAATTGCTTAAACATTTATCAATTAATCTTTGAACCATGGGATAATGTCAAGATAAAATATTTAAGGAATCTCATACATATGTTGTTGTTTATTTAAACTGATGCATATTTTTCCTTCTTTTGTAAGTAGATTTGTTCCTCCAGGAAAGCTATACATTGGCATAAAAGGCATTTTTTCAGATAAAATATTTTTCATATTTCCTGTATAACTATATACAATATATAAAATGATTAAAGTTTCTGGAAATTAAAAGAAAAAAATCTCTTTCAAGGCAAGCATAATTAGGATATATATTTGGAAGCAATACAAATTTAGCCAGTTCCACAAGATAAATTGAAGGACAGAGTTATAAGACATGCATGTTGATCTATTATACATCAGAAAAAAGAAGATACTTTTGGGAACTATTTGCAATGTCATATATAAACAATCATTTAATTAGTCAGTTAAGTTGAATTTAGGCATTAGCGATTGATATGTATTAAGGAGAAGGGTCATTTGGCAGCAAAATAAGTTAACACTTTAAATTTAGATATTGTTCTAAGATGGTTAGTTACACAGAGTTTAAGGAAACTAAAAATGCATTTTGAGAGCAGCACAGGTAGCTGTACGAAAGTTAAGTGATGGATCACAAGAAGGTAGTGGAGAATAAAACAGGTTGCTGAATATTGCGAAATGCAAATAAAAAAGTTGGCAAAATGGATGGAAGAAGTAGAGCAGCAGATGGATGGCAGACGCTGACTTGTTGTGAAATGAAATTCCATGAAAAATTAATGAATAGAAAGATTGTGCTCTGGGTGAGGGTGCAGCGGCCATGTGGGTCTCTATCCCCTGCAATGCCAGAGTCACCCATGCCGTCCTCACCTGGCTAGCTAGGGAGGCAGCCCAGATATCCTTTGCTTATCTCACTCATCGACAGCTTGAGAAGAAGGACTAGATTTAGTGGTAGAGTCAAACTGATTAAACCATTAGCCAGCTTCTAATTGTGTGGGGCTTTATTTTTTCTTTCTTTCTCTCTTCTTAAAATTTATATTAGTACTGTTGTTTCTAGTGACTCATGTAATAGAAGTAATCTGAGATTGTTTCAAGGGTGTTAGATATGAGGAATGAACTTGAATTTAGAATAAAAATATGAGATTAATATATCCGTACTTAAATAGTGGTGTTTGTGGGAAAAGCCAACCTCAAAGCATTATGTAAGAAAGCATGGAGTAAGAAATTCAATTTTAATTTTTAAGTTATGAAAAGGTAACATGATTTGAGAGCATGCTGTGTTAAATTTAAAAATCATATGTGTAGATTATGTATATGCAAATATGTATTACTATTTATGTGTGTATATATGTCAAAAAGACAGCTAAACATTTGAGCAATTTTTATATCTGCCTACTTCTTTTTCTCAAATGCTAGAGAGTAAATGTTAGTATATTTTTTTTACCATGAAGAGTTTTGAGTAACTAAGACCAAAAGTAATCTTAAGACTCTGCTTTTTATCACTTACAAATATTATTTCTAAATACATACTGCTGTGATAATGTGGCTTCTAATTAGTTGCAAATAGAATTTCTAAAAGGGCAAATTTTCACAGTATTAGCAAGACTTTAAAAGCACTTAGCCTTTTAAAAACCAAAACA